GCAGATTTGACATCTTCGCAGCGTTCACGACTTCTCACCATTCTTGAGTGCTACCGCCATTCTTTCGACGTTGAACAAACATCTCTCGGCCGTGCCTAAGCAGTAAAACACCAAATCGACACCGGGTGCCACTCACCGCTGCGACAATGACCATATCACGTGTCCGCTACAGAACGCCACGTCATTGCTGACCAAGTAGACGACATGCTTCACAGAGGTGTCATTCGACCTTCACAGAGCCCATGGGCGTCTCCGGTGGTCCTCGTCAAAAAGAAAGACGGTTGTATTCGTTTCTGTGTCAATTTCCGGCGATTGAACAAGATCACGCAGAAGGATGTCTATCCACTACCGCGCATTGACGATGCTTTGGACAGTTTACAGGGTGTCGAGTTCTTTCCCTCGTTATACATGCGGTCAGGCTACTGGCAGGTGCCTATGGCGGAGGCCGCTCACCCCAAAAGCACTTTTTTTCACCCCAGACGGCTTATATGAATTCACCGTCATGTTCTTCGGACTTTGCAATGCACCTGCAACGTTCGAACGAATGATGGACAACATCCTGCGTGGACTAAAATAGAAGATATGCTTGTGTTACCTCGATGATATCGTGGTCTTCGCCCCTAACTTTGACACCCACTTACGTCGCCTTCAGCACGTCCTTACTTGCTTGACTAACGCCGGTTTGCAATTAAACCTCAAAAAATGTCGATTTGCCATGCGTCAACTGAACATTTTGGGCCACGCTGTTTCAAAGGAAGGCATCCTCCCGGATCCCGAGAAATTGCGAGCTGTTACGGTGTTTCCTAAACTTGCCAACATCAAAGAACTTCGAAGTTTCATCGGCTTGTGTTCGTATTTCCGGCGATTCGTCCGAAACTTCGCGTCTATTACATTACCTCTCACGCAATTCTTCAGCAACTGTAAAGACCTCTTATCCTGGTCCCCTGACTGCGACGAAGCTTTCACCACCTTGCGACGGCTTCTCACGACGCCACCCATTCTACGCCATTTCGATCCTGAAGCTCCAACTGAAATCCACACCGACGCCAGTGGTGTAGGCCTGGGTGCTGTGCTCGCACAGCGTAAACCGGAGTATCAGGAATACGTCGTGGCATACGCTAGTCGCACAATTACCAAGGCTGAGAGCAACTACAGCGTAACAGCAAAAGGAGTGCTTGGCCATTGTGTGGGCCCTTGGAAAGTTTCGCCCATATCTATATGGTCGTTCTTTTGACATCGTGACCGACCACCACGCGTTGTGCTGGCTTTCGACGTTAAAAGACCCATCTGGCCGCCTCGCTCGCTGGGCGTTGAAAATTCAAGATCATGACATACGCGTGGTTTATTGGTCAGGACGAAAGCATGCTGACACCGACGCCCTTTCCCGTTCCCCTCTGTCCCATAATGCTACAGCTGAGTCCGCTTGTGATTCCACATTGTCATCTCTTGACTTTGACACTACTGCTATCGAACAACGTAATGACCCGTGGACTGCGTCTCTTCTCAATCATCTCTCCGACACTTCGGAACTCCCAAAGACGTGAACGCTCCGGCGCCAAGTTCCACACTTCTTGATACGTGACACGCTTCTCTATCGACGCAACTACGCACCAGAGGGACGCAAGTGGCTGCTCGTCGTTCCACGAACTCTGAGGTCGCAGATTTGTTCCTCTTTCCACGCTAACCCCCAATGTGGCCACGCAGGAGTCTTCAAGAACTACGAAAGGCTTCGACATTGTTACTACTGGCGTGGTATGTATACCTTCGTCCGCAACTTCGTCCGCTCTTGTGCCAAATGTCAGCGCCGAAAATCTCCACTACACGCCTCCACCGGTTAACTGCAGCCTTTACCATGCCCTTCCCGACCCTTCGAACGGGTCGGAATAGATATTTATGGGCCACTTTCATTGACTCCGACTGGCAGCAGGTGGATAATAGTTGCTATCGACCACCTAACGCGCTATGCTGAGACCGCTGCTCTTCAAACGGCTACAGCACAGGAGGTTGCCACTTTCCTACTGCGTCATTTTGTGTTGCGTCATGGAGGCCCTCAAGAACTCCTCAGTGTCCATGGCCGCGCCTTCTTGTCCGAGGTCATTTAAAAATTGCTCGCTGAGTGTGCTATTGTACATCGCACATGTAACGCTTACCACCCTCAAACCAATGGGGCTACCGAGCGCTTTAATCGTGCTCTCGGTGGCATGCTATCTATGTATGTGACGCCTGATCACTCTAACTGGGACTTAGTTCTCCCATTCATTACATACGCCTATAATACGGCAACGCAAGCGACAACAGGCTTCTCCCCTTTTTACCTCCTCTACGGCCGTCACCCCTCCCACACCATTGACACCATTTTGCCCTATCGACCGGACGCGTCCGAGTGCTTACCGATCTTGGACGCCACCGGACACGCAGAAGAATGTCGTCAGTTAGCTCGTCGCTTTACCTGCGATGACCAAAACAGGCAAAAAGCAATTCATGATGCCCAGACCTCAACTCCCGTTTTTCTTCCGGGAGCTATTCTGTGGCTGTCAGTACTGCATCGCACACCTGGGCTCTCTTCCAAACTTCTGCCAAAGTACGATGGGCCATATCGTATTCTCGAACAAACTTCGCCAGTAAATTACCTCATTGAGCCTCTTACGCCACCGTCAGACTTGCGACGTCGCAACCGCGAGGTTGTACACGTCCAGAGGCTCAAGCAGTACCACGGTTCGACGCCGCCTCCACAGGACTAAGTTGCCAAGGATGGCTCCTTTTTTTTCTCCGCGGGGCCATTGTAAAGAAGAGGAAGTACTCCGGTGCAGAGGTCATCAGCATCATCAGAATCAGCATGCAGCAGTGGCTCGGGCTCGGAAATCGCGGCTGGTGCATCGCCTTCCAAGCCTTCCGAGCATCAACCTTTCTGCTCAATAAATCTCCTTTATAATGTATATATATATAATATACATGCATGAGGTACGTTGGTGGTTATCATAATGTTGAAATCTCGCTGTGCATATGTTAAGTGATGACAGCATACGTGATATTTCCAAAAAGAGAATGCTTCAACTAACTTTATAAACACCAATGTTTGTTGTTTATGATTGTGCCTGTTGAGAATGTTTATTTCATACTTTTTGCTTTTTTTCTTATCGCTTTGCTTTATGTATTTTTATTTTGATCTTATGACAAGTAAGAATGCTTGTTAATGTTTGCTGCTGCTGTTATTGTCCTGGGAGGTGGGACTAGTCAAGCTGCCTACATGCAGCTTTTATGCCATCATCCTTGTTGTTTAAACATATTTTGATATATATGGCAATAAAGTTCACTTCACTTCACTTTTTCAAAAAGTCGGAGTGTTTCTCAGCCTAGGTAGAAAGGTCTTGTGATTCGCGTCACCAGCACCCAGAAAAAGAGTTGGAAGTGGCCGTCATAGAGACTAGCGGGGCTGACGAACAGTCCGATTTTTCGAAAAAAATTCACATATGCACAGCAAAATTTGGACAGTACGATAACCACCGCTGTACCTCACTTGGTGTAGCGTCGAAGTAGTTATTTGAAGGTCACTGTTTTGGTCCCAGCCTGTGGCAATTCATTTTTTTTCATACACTTTACTTTCTTCAATTTTGCATGGTGTGCGTGCGTGCATCTCCCTTTTTGTGTGCTTGTCGTAGTGCGCTATACCCCTATAAATGAGGAATACCAACCGACTAGCCCGCCAACGTGTCTTAGAAAATAACATCCCCGATACTCGTATTGCTTCCCTTATTCGTTATTTCGAAATAATTTTAGGGCCCGTCCAGTTGCAAATACACATCGGTTTTTGTGATTTCACGGCTATGGACACTCACTTTCAAATAGTTATGTTTGTTGAATCAAAAGTAGACTGAATGTTATTTCGTGGTTAACTTTACAATATCATCTCATGTGGATTCTTCTTTTACAGGTATTATTCATGTCACTGTTCGATCGATCATGGGCACATCAATCACTACTTCGTGGTCACGACCGGAATACCGATTCGATTTCTACAGGCTGGAAATGACCGAGGATAAACTCGACGCCAATGGCCGAACGTACCGTGCAAATGTGGGGTCTTGTGCAATAAGCAAGTATGCTCGCAACGAAACAGTAACTTCTTGTGGTGACTTCGAAGGTTGCACACCTAGAGATTTTCGCGCAGAGCCACGGGCCGCCCGAAAGCGCAAGGCTCGTGAGTGGAATAGAAGGCATATTTGTACCCGGTCAAGGTAAATGCCTTTGCTTTTGCTTTTGTGGGGCAAATTCGTCATGTCCAGCGCAGCGGAAGCGCATAATTTTTGGATTCGTCCTTGCTGAACGACCATGCCCAGACTCAGAAAAAAAAATGAACACGTGGCGCTTGGTTAACATTCACAATAGTGTGTGCTAAATATAAAACTCGAAGAAATACCACCGTTGGCAGACGCATATGTAACAGACATAAAGCTTGATGCGTCGGTGTTAATGAAAGCTGAACTTGCTGATGTGGAAGCAAGACCGCACTTGTTAATCCTCTGGATAGAAATGTTTGATTTACTTTTGTTCTTACGCTTATCGTACTTATACCCGTACTGATTATTTGCTTTGCATGTCTTAAATGTTGTTGCTAGGCGAGAAGTTCAACTGGCTGGACAGAAAATAAGGCTTACTGCGAAGTGATACCGACCATCATAACTTTACCGGAAAATTGCTTTCTGAGGGACAGCGACATACAAATACGCCTGAAGAAACTCGCTTTGGTATACGAATTGTTGCAACAGTATATCATACGAATGATATTACATAGCCGATAAGGTAGCAAATTCAGGAAGCAGATGGTTTAGACAAGATCAGCTGCGAGAAAAAAAATGCGTCGTACAAAAATAGTGAATATCTATAAGTTCCACGTCGAAACCACTATTCGTAAATCACCGCAATAAAAATTTACCTTTTCGAATGTTTCTTGCGCGGAAAACAAATTTATTCTATAGATTTCGCCTAGCTGACAAGAGCTGTCGAGTTTCATCTCACCAATGAAAACAAGTGATATCTAATCAAATGTGTTGTCGATGTTTCAGATCCAGATTCTCCGTCGAAACCTAACAATGGTAGAGATATCTCCCACAACTACGCGTCTCCATTGGGAACCTCCTGTTAAAGTGCATGGAAGATTCCACGGATACACCATAAAGAAATGCGAGAAGTTTACTTCATGTGAACGAGGAGAAAACATGCATGCTTGCTCCGAAAGCCACACGCTTGAAGAATGGCTGGACATCAATAACTACGTCAACAGCGAACTTTGCGTGCTGGTGACAGCAAGGGCAAGATGTGGATCACAAACATTAAGCAGTCGGCCACTGGTGGGAAAACTTACAAACATTTCATTTGGTAAGGATGTACATTTCTTCTATATATGAGTGATCTCGTGTCTGAGGGAGGGCGCAGAATGCAGAAACACTTGGCATAATAGTGATTCAATCTTTTTTCGTCAGCATTACTTTGAACCTTTTCAATGTCCATTATAGAACAAATGCCCCGCCTAATTTTCACCGACCTACTCTGTTCTGCGCAAGAAATTTTCATTCTACGCCACCAAATTTCTCACTTCGTCAACACAGCTAACAGTCTGTCCTCCTCTGCTACGCTGCCAACTAACGGTACACATTTAAACACTCTCAACTCCATATGTTATCTTTGGTTCCCGTAGCGTCACCATCTCTGGAACAGAACTAGCTTTGTTTGTAAAATATGCATCTACGTAGGTACTCATTTATCATGGCACTGCAGAGCTGAATAAACAAAGTCGATAGTGAGCAAGCCCTTACGTCTGGAATACCGGTGACACTCTGCCAGCAAGCTCCGTACCTCTCCGTAGTTCTTGTGATGCGTCCACACAGGAAAATATGTAACCCCTTCCCAAAGCGAGCGTGTATGTACGGCATATTTCGATAACAATGATAGCGCAAAGAAATAGGTCGCAAGATAATAACACGAAGACACACACACCTAATCCTCATTAACCCGCTATTCGAATGTATTTTAGGTCAAGCAGGGCGACCGAACTGATTATTATTTCGTCGTTTTCATGAAGAATAGCGCAATATAGCGAGAAAGCAAAAAAGTATTTGAAAGTAAGCAAACACAGAAAAAAAATATGAAGGAAGTCCGCGTAGCGTCCAACAGCCAACCACTTCGGCAGCTGTGGCCTCCTGATGTTCATTTCACGGTTCCCATTATGCTCCAAATTCACTTTTTCATTTTGTCCGCCTGTCAAGATAAAGCGAAAACTGACGAGCGCACATGGCTAGCGTCCACAAGCCAACCATATTTGACGCCACTCCCCTCTCGTTCCGCTCGCCCTGCTTGGATTTTACATCATGCTCCTCATTCATTTTTTATTAACTGCCCATCAGAATTGTCACGTGAGTTTCAAGACCTTTAATATGGCCGCCGAAGGCTGTTCACTTTCATCGCACAATTTGTTTTGAGGGAATCATTCTTAGCGATTTAGATGCAGCACTGACGTGATTAACGTAGTTTTAGCAGAGTAGTCCCTCATTCCTAATGAAAATTTTTTTAAATTGTCATACAAATAACGCAGGTGATACTAAAGTTAAAACTTCTACAGCGGTAACCAGGTTCCTCTCAAGCAGCTCATTGCAGCCTTTTCGCCTAGTGTTTTCGCAACCTTGTTACCAAATAAACTCAACTCAACTCAATTAAACGTATGATTTTAAGCATACGTTGTATGAATTGCCACAAAATTAGCATATATAGTTCACTGAACTGTTCAATAAACTTGTCCTAATTGATTTGTTGTTCTGCAATAATTCACTATATAAACGCTATGTAAGAGTACGTTTTTTTTTCTTTTTTTCAGTGGTGCCTAAAGTGGCGAACGTTACTCTAATAGATGTTGGGCCTGATTACTTCACCGTCTCCTGGATCAAACCAGCCGTGAGCTTCGACTACTACTGGGTGGAGGTGTTGTACATTGGCGATGAAAGCGACATGCTTACACCCCATCGAGTGGGTTCTTGTGCTAATGGCACTGTCGTACACCGCAGTCAAACTCAGATCACCTGCGACAAATTTAAGGCATGTGCCTACGTAACTTTCACAGTGCACGCGCATGTCGAGACTGCCTCGCAGCTCACATTCCCTGGAACAACGTTGAGAGGTATTTTTCTCCCAGGAAAAGGTACAGTGCTATTTCTCAATACATCGCTTTATAGAAATTAATCTATCACATGAGTGCATGTACTTAATCTATGTCGGCTGGCTCGGGTAAAATGGGCTCGTACATGAAAATTCTCCACTGCTCTGACGAATATTCATTAACAATGACGTGTTTGAGATTGACGCTACAATTACAGCTGCAGCGCTGATTGTCGGCGATACATGGGGCTGCGCACTGAGCGTGAAAAAGCCCGCCAAGATGGTAAAATTGGTTGAACTGATCCCGTCTGTACCGTATTTATCGAGCTCCAATGAACTATCAATTCCAACGCGCACCCGATTTACATCACCTAAAGAAGTACAGCTATTCCCGATGCTAATGCGCACCCGTTCCCTTTCATCAAAGAAAGAGTTCATGCCATCGCACGAGCCTCAACTTCCACGCAATTTTCACGAGCAAACCAAATTTGCTCATATTTTGTTCATTCGCCAGCTCTTCTTCATCAACTGGATATTGGGCAAGGGGGCTGATTGATCGCAAAACGCACAGTTACATCATAGGACCCATTACAATGCCTCCAGTGAGGCAGAAAGTTATAAGCAAATGGGCTACCATTGTTGCCAGCAAACAATAAACGGTCTTATGAGATAATAGCAATGACGAAGGGCAGTGTAGATTTGCACCCGAATCCAACGCGTATGGTATTTTAAGACTGAACTTTCGCGAAGCAATGTGTGCATCGAAATTGCGTATATACGTAACTAAGTCAGTCCCGTCGATAAACTCACTTGTTAGTCAGCGCTGTGTATGTGAGAATCTTCGTTTTCTGCCCTGTCTTGTTGCGCTGTTTTACGATCACAACGGTCGGTAGTGATAGCCTTATCGAAAAAAAAACAACTAGTCGTGTAATCTATGAGACGGCCATCAGAAGACCATCCATAATCATCGCTTTTTATCTTTCATTAAACTGACTTAACCGATGAAATGTGCTCCGTTAGAGAGTTTCTGGACAAAGACAAAACATAGGACGCAATTTTCAAGTTATGCTGAAATTTCAACAAAGAGCGGTTGAGTCTACGTGGATATCATGCCATACGATAACATATGGTGGCATATTGTGCAACGGCTGACGATCACCTCAGCCGTTGCATCGGTCGTGTTACGTTGTATCAGCGTTTCCTTGAGAAACGCGAGTTTTCATTTAGGAATGGGCTGATAGTATTACTTCGCAAACACTGTTAATTTGTTGCAATTGCATTACTCAGTTTTCTCTTGTGAGGCAACTGTAAAATTTTTTTGTTAGCCCATGTTTTCTTCCTAACCAGATCAACAGCCAGAACAGTGTCATCTATTGTGATGCCAGGGTATAAGTATCGTGTCTTTTGATTCGGATATTTGCCTGTCCAATAAAAAAAAGAAACTTTCGTTAGCGCTCTGAGCAGGCACTACGCCTTTGAGGAGGTCATTGGAAATACACTTGTGTACTTTGCGCTTGAAACACCCATTTTGAGATGACACACAGATAATGTAATTACCAATGATCAGGAGTTCTTGTTTTTTATATCAGAATTAGACTGCACAGAATTGTCTCGAATATTGTGCGAAAGGTGAAGGAACAGAACAATTACGCACTAATACGAAAACAGAAAGCCATGCTATTTACCTTTCATTAATTTTTGGAATCCTTTGCGCAGCGCCGCGTAGATAAAGACTACGATGCCTCTGTATGCTTCTCTTTCGTCGAAGACGTTGAAAAGATAGTGTGCTGTGGCGCCTTCTCATTTCCTTCGTTATCATAGCGTGATGACTGTGTTGTATAGTGTTTTAATGATACTACGGACATCTTGCTGCGGTTACAAAGCGGCAGAGTGGAATGGCTGAGACTGGTTTCAAAATGCTTGTGGTGGGCTAGCGATACTTTAAGTGTGAGGCACGGTAATAGAACTTACATAAGAAGTCACAACATTTGTGTGAATATAAGCTCCTTATTTTGTTGACGTGGTAATCTCTAAAGAGGCCAGTGCAAGTGTTGCCTATTAGGAGGTGCTTTTGCAGTGATCAAGGCCTGCCTGAAAGAGGGTTCATAAAGACCACCTCTTGCACTGCTGCACAAACCCAGTGACACAAGCCAGCGTGAAAAAACGCAGAAAAAAAATCTGTTCAACATACTAGCTATTTAACATAGTCTAGCGCGCTGAACTCTAGCGGAATTAGCTCACAATAAATACCCATTTCGACCAAAAAACCCGTTTTACAATGCGAATATTAACGTCCAAGTTGTAATCAAAACATTTTCAAACTAAACACGGAAACATTTTTCAAGTATAACTATTCTGGTGGGGTAAACATACTGCAAACGTGAAGAATATATATTTATGTCACATCTGGCGAAGCGATAGCGAGTATGGCAATGCTGTTACTTTTAACTTCCCTATTGTGTATTTAGTAGAAGTCATGTGGTTGATATCTTATCCACTTGTCTTACTGTCACTAGGGTACCTTGTGCGAATAATGTGGGAAAGGCTAGAAAACGCAGATTAAGACACTAAGCAATTGCTGCACTGCGTGCAGGGCACCGGCATGTGTTGTATATATATTTTGATCATCACGTGGTCCGTGTGCTGTCGTATGATCTATTTCGTTACATAACCTATGCGTTTAAAAGGTATTACGAAAGACTTAAATGCTTAAAAAACCCAAAATGTGACCATTGAGGACGTCGCTATGAATGTGAAAAAGAATCAACAAAATTACACTATGAATTAATGACGACAACTTAATATCTACATCTCGAAGGATGCAACGTGGTGACGTCTGCGATCTTCTTGATAGCAATATGATACCGCTAAACATTTCACCACATAATAAAGACAAGTTAAGTAATCAGCGCATGGTGAATGGTTTTTGGATACCAGAAATAACGGGAAACCAGGTGATGTGTAAGGATCTTTCAAAAATTCTGAACCTGAAAACAGTGCAAGGCCACCCAAATACTCTATAGAGGACAGGATGGTTGACTATAGATTATTGGCAATTACCTATTATGTAGGGTCCATTTCTCGGCAGCGCACCTATAATCAGGAGGAGGATGTAACATGTAATTTCTTTCAAATCAATACCTCTCAAAAACGGGTGACCTATAATATTCATTATTCTCGCCAATGTGGCCAAATGCCAACATTGGCGAGAACGAACGGACTCTGATCACAATACTGTCACAAGCCTCTTCTGTGAAAGAAGATGGGTTTAACTCAAAAGTTTTTGTATGGGCGAAGCTCTGCTCGCGGTAAACGAGAGGTCAAGCTACAAGTGATATACGCTGTACACTAATAACGGAGAGAGCATCGTCCTTCCTTAACCTTATTTTTTGTTTAGGTGCGGCAGTATTTGCACAACCGGTATCGAATGCTCGAGTGTGATCTGTGGTGTCGGCGCTAGTTCAACAACAATCTCGATTGTTTCGCTTTCGAGCTGACAAGCCTACCAGGAGGTTGAAATTCTGGAAGACTTGAGACATTTCTGCGAATTTCGCGAAAAGCACTGTGTAAACTAGGCACCGTATATTAGCTGAATAGAAGTACAAAAAACACCATGTTTTGCAGTAACTTTGCCTGTGTGAAGGTGCTCCGACAGGACCAAAACTTCATACTGGAAAGCTGTGGGAGATTGTGCTGCTTGTTTTGGCTCCCGAAGGCAAAGTCTTTGGTGTCCAGCAGACCGGAGATGCTGGTAGAGCATAATGGTTTTGTGACCACTGGAACAGGATTTCTGTGGCACACTGCATAAGTATTTTATGTAAAAGACTGTTGGACTTGGCTGATTGCTTCATACATGCGTTTTATAATGTACCTGAGCAAAAATTGATGAGCGAGTAAGCCGTTGGCATTCATGTTAGGCTGCCGCAAGCAAGATTATGCTGTTCAACGTGGCAAAACACTAATATAAGTTCTTGTCTTTCAGTTACAAAATGATGGGATACATTTTAGCGATTTCTTGATCAAGAAGACAAGCGTTGCAATGCATGCCGCCGTTTTAGAATACCACAATCGTTCACTGCTGCGAAACACGGCATTCCATTTTGACTGGGTTGTTGCTAGTGATTTGGCCAATTCGGTTCTTTACTTGTGAAGCAAAAATTAAATTTCAGCAAAGCGTGCTCAAACTTTTACAAACTATGAGCAAATCAAAATTAGTGTCTCGCTGTCACTCGGAATTTTTGTTCTAAGGAAAGGCTTCATAAAACTAGCACCTACAGCGAATTCACTGCATGTATCTTTGCGAACGAAAATTTATTTCAGTTTCAAGAAATGACACTTGTGTGTGCAGATATGAACCATGGTGTGGCGGTCCGTGTAGGAATGATACAAAGACACGCGATAGGTTAGGCGATGAAGGAAGCTTTTATGTCTAGGATAGCAAATCAATAATTATTACTCTAGTGTTGACCTCACTATATAAGCCTCTTTCGCCAAAATAACAAGTTATGTAAAAAAATAGGTAAGAAAAAAGGACGAAGTTAGTAAAAGACATGACGGAAGCAGTCTTGGACGACTTATATTGACGTAATTATGTGACTTGGCAAGTTTCACCGATCTTTGCCGTTAGGACTTTGCGACATGGTGATGTCACCAAGAATGGCGATTTTCGCATCTCCTTTCCTGGCAGCACAAACGAATTTTTTTTGAAATGGCGCATTTGAGGCTCTCGTCTTCAAAGTTCACTCAGGCAGGTATACACGGCAGGTATATGGCTAAAGTGGCGTGTTACAATCAGGCCCCTTGAAGGGGTTTGCAGCAGGTGTCTAGCTAATGGGAACGTAAATTACAGGTTATGCAGGAGATCCTGTTTACTAAATCATTTTTCTCAAACACACTGTGCAGATCTTCCTGAAGTAAGGCTGCTGAAATTGACACAGATGTACAAGGATTCCATAACTGTTTCCTGGCAACGACCGGAGCGCTGCTTTGACGGCTACATAGTAGAAGTCGCTCCAGAAAACAGCGGAAGCAGTGGTGGCGGGGGCCTCAGTGCGGGCTCCTGTGCGGGTGGTACCTACTGTTGACGCGCAACAAACTAGCATCACGTGCAGAAAAATTGAAGCTTGCAGCGTGAAAATCACCGTACGTACGCACAGAAAAGGACATCTGGAGTTTACTCACCTGGTGTCACCCTGAACAACGTTGTCATGTACAAAAAAGGTACTTTTATACGACCTGCGTTCACCTCCTTGCAATGCAAAGGTTTTGAATTTTATAATTCACTAATCAACACCTAATAACCAAACAAGTGGTAGGAAAGCTGTGCAGCTTTTCTGTTTCATGCTTTAGGACTACATTTTCTACTATTTGTCTTCCTAAGGTATTTTCGGTGTGTTTTAGCAAGTACATTTCTCTTTACGGAACCAAAAGGTACAAGAGGTTGGAATTTTAAGTGCACCATTGCGCCGTTGTCCATTTGCTTGCGCAAACTAGACGTGCGATAAAAAAAAAAGACGATTATCACAAATAATGACAGTATAAAGTTATGTGTGCCTTTTTTATATCAGTAGTTCCTGAACTATCTTCGCATGTAAAATAATTTATTTTAGTATAAGTGGGCATTTATACCTGCATTCATTACTTCCTGCATGCTCATACGCCTCTCCGAGTAGCAAGCTAAATCTCGGCGCTTCCAAGCGGCCATTACCATTCCCTCAACAGTATGTAACTGCAGTATTGAACATCCATAAAGCGCTGGCACCTCGACCCTCATCCCGAGACTGTCAAATTGTAGAGCAGAATATTGGTGCCTCCCCGCGAGTTTTGTGTTCCTAAGGTTTTGACTTTTTGGTCAATTACACTTGGTTGTGTTAATCTGCGACATTGACTTAGAAGTGTTCAAATATGTTCCGTAAACGTTTTAGTTTGTTTGTTTTTGAATTCTAATGAACACTTGCAAGCTGCTTGATGTCCATTACTCAAAATCTAATTTATTATTTTTTTTTGTTTTTTGGCTGTGGTCGTGTCGAAGCCTAATACAAACTGCGAAGAAACGAGGGCCTTTGACACGCTGTTTGCCTTTATCTCTTGCTGCTGCAATGAGCTCAGTAATATGCTAGCTGCAAATAAAGTAATATTACTACTATCACACTAGTACTACAAGCCTGCTTAGGCATTACAATATACATGTAAATAAACATACTATACCTTACTTTAACAAACCTATCACAATATTATTAAATTCAGCAGTAGTTAGAGTATAATTATCAGTAGTAATGCTTAACATTATAAAATACTGGGGAAGATTACTTGTATACAAAGCCACTGGAAGAGCTCAACACCTGTTGCACAGGACCCCGCAACACTGCATGAAATGTGTGACTGCAGTGGAGATGGGTGTAAAGAAGGAAAATATTTTTCCAGACATTCACTGCATCTTTACAGAAGGTTGATGATCCCTGGATAGTGATCAGGTCGGGATGGAAGATAGTGGGCGTGAGAGTTAATGAAGATTGAGAAGAATTGTCTAAATTAGTTGGTCATGCATATCTGCTTGAGACATATCCGCACATATAGAATGACAAGGTAGAGAAGAAAACTGACGAGGACAAGTGCTTGCCTTCATCCCTTTTGTGTTTGTCATCGTTTGATTTGCACTAACTGAGAGCACCAACTTAGGACGCCCGAATGGCAGTAAACTCTGAAGAGCTAGTGCATTGAGTGAGGATAGCCTACGACGCAGAAAAGTAAATTTTAGACGGATCAGTTGAAGTCTTTCAGGCGCTTGTAGGTCGTAAACTCTTGAATTTCTTCTGAATTATCAGGCAGGTCCTAAAGCGAAGCCGGCTTCGTATGTCCTCATAGCCCCCCCCCCCCCCCCCCATATCTCGCTCATGACAGAGCAATGGTATGTCGATGAACTGGTACTCTCCCTCGAAAGTATTCTCTACAGGAGGAACGCAGAGCCACCTTAAATGTGCAGTGTGGTTTTTCTTTGTGTTCATCTGTGTCAAATCATCATGGACAACGCAAAACGTTCGCTCAAGATCACGCACGGCGACACCAAAAGCGAAAGCTATAACAAACTAGCTTCCATATAATAGTGCGTGAAAGAAACAGGGCTTCGCCACGCCATGATTGTGATGTAGGGTGACTGTGAGCTGAAACTTGGTGTTTGGTGTCCAATGGTTACTAAAGTAATGAGCTGAAACGTTTAGCTAGAACCTCACTAAAACGCTGTGCCTCAACAGCATGTCGACCAATGTCATCTACGTACTTGCGCTGAATATTTGTGGCTGAAAACAAAGAGAGTGCAGTTAGTCTGAGAACACAATTTTTATGTTACAGATATTCCAGAGGTGCTGCCGACGCTTGAAGGGGCTAATGACACATTTGTACTGCGGTGGAACCGGCCAACTGGCTGCTTCGACAAGTACAATCTCGAGGTCGCCTATGAACCTTACAAATATTCAACTTTTGAAACGTTGCGTATTGGTTCATGTGCCGGGACAACCATTATAGAGCCTGACGGTTACAAATGTTACTTGTTCCAATCTGCCAGCCTGCGTAAACACCAGTGTAATCCTGCGCACTCAACGAAATGGACCGCATGGACGTGTTTCACGCGGTGAAGCCTTATTCGTGTATTCTGAAAAAGGAGGTAGGTGCTTTGTGGCATACTCTCGCGCAAAAGTGCAGTGCCAGTTTTAAAGTGTTCAATGAAAAAGCTATTGTAACCTCTGAAAGGTATGCGTTGTAGGATCTTTGACAAGTCTTTAAAATTCTTGCTGGTTAGATCGCAGAGTAATCTGAGACAGGGTATCAATACAATGCCTGGGAGGTCAACAAATTTGCCATTTGTGGACTCGGCAATCATAATAGTATTTATTGCTTCATAACTCTAGAAAAATACGGCAATAGAATTGCCTGCTTAGTGTGCTGCAGTAATCACGTCAAGGCAAATTTCTTAGATTTTCATAGGTTATTTTTCGGGTCGTGGTTTAAAAATTTTAGAATTTGCATAGTACGGGATAGCAGATGTGCTCTTGAACACGCTAACTTGCAAGTATTTTTCGGTTAACGCATGCCTCATCATTATCGTAAACTTTTTTCAGGGGCACGCAAGGCATTGAGAGCATTGTCATGCTTCTTGCGGGCAAGTGGTCTTAGAGACAGGCTGTAAGCTGCGTCGTCGATCTTCTGTTGTTCTTCTTTTTTCTCTCCTTCAATGTTTCTTTTCTCTCACTTTTTATTCTCTCTACCCCCCTTCCACAGCACAGGGTAGCCAGCCGGTCTGAGAACTGGCTAACCTCCCTGTCCTTCCTCCTTCAATCCTCTTTCCTCCTCTTTTTTTTTTTCAGGGTGGGTCAGACTGCATTTAAACCAGAGCTATCTTACGCTATTCATTTCAACAGAGTGTATCATTTGATACCAATGAGTGGGCGAAAGGCTCATAGTGCGATAAGATGAACACAATCTCATGATGCGGATGTTCATCTTGGGGGACATTTCATTCATAACATTATACTTCATGTCATTACAGCTCTTGTGGACTTTGACCTCTACCTTTCCTGGGTGACAAACACTACGGCTGGAATTGAAATAGACACGCATCGTACATGGTCCTGCCCACCGCGTGACTGCTGGGCGTTTATATGTCAGTTCCACGAGAATGGAGTGGTGGGTCACCTTCACAAAAAAGTTGTTCTGATAAAATATTTCTTTTATTTTCAGAACTCCAGTACGTTTAAAGTAGCACTGCAATTATTAAGAACTATATTACCAACCTTCAGTTTTCTCTTTAAAAAATTGGCAGATCCTACGTACTGTGAGAATCGATGTTATGTGAACCACAAATGAAGAAGGTTGATATATCACTTTAAAATCGGCACGACGTTACCGTGCGGACGTTAATTATACCATACATGACCTCCATGCCTTGATTGTCATGTTTGTATGTGTCATTAACCTTCGTTATCTGTTCATGTCACATGATGCCAAACTCAGTATCACGTACGTCACGTGACATGTGTAGCTATCGAAACGGCCACGAGCACGCCATGAGCGTAACATGTAGAATATTTCACATGACACTCATGTTATCAGTATCATGTTTGGACGTGTCATTTACCTTCGAAGTGTATTTACGTCATGCGATACCTATATTTGGTATGTGTAGAGCTAGTGAAACAGCCGTGAACGTGCTATGAGCGTAACATGTCATGTTTCGCATCACACGCACATTGTAGTTATCACGTTTAGATGTGTCATTTACCTTTGTTATCTATTCATGTCACGTGATACCAAATTTTGTATATGTGTAGCGAGGAAAACAACTGCGAGCATGCTATGAGTGTAAAATGTCGTGATGTTTTCTGGGAAACACATGCCATGCATATCATGTTCATCATTCGCCAGTGACATTGCAATTCTGAGTAACTCAGGGGACGAATTGAAACTCATAATTATGGAGTTAAACCAGGAGAGCAGAAAGGTGGGTCTTAAAATAATCTGCAGAAACGAAAGTAATGTACAACAACCTCGGAAGAGAGCAGCGCTTCGAGATAGGTAATAGTACACTTCATGTTATGAAAGACTATGTCTACTTAGGCCAGGTAATAACCGCGGAGCCGCACCACGAGATTGAAGTAACTAGAAGAATAAGAATGGGGTAGAGCACATTTGGCAAGCACAATCAAATTATGACAGGTAGATTGCCACTATTACTCAAAAGGAAGGTATAAAACAGTTGTATCTTGCCGGTACTTAGCTACGGAGCCGAAACATGAAGACTTACAAAGAGGGTTCAGCTTAAATTGAGGACGACGCAGCGAGCAATGGAAAGAAAAATGCTAGGTGTAACCCTAAGAGACAAGAAGAGGGCAGAGTGGATTAGGGTACAAACGGGGATTAAGGATATCATAGTTGAAATCAAGAAGAGGAAATGGACATTGGCAGAGCATTTAGCGCGTAGACAGGATAACCGCTGGTCATTAAGGGTAGCTGACTGGATTCCCAGAGAAGGCAAGCGCGTTAAGGGGAGAAAGAAAGTTAGGTGGGCAGATGAGATTAAGGAATTTGCTGGTATAAATTGGCAGCAGGAAGCACAGGACCGAATTTACTGGCGGAACATGGGAAAGGCCTTTGTCCTGCAGTGGACGTAGTCAGGCTGATGATGATGATGAGGATAAAATAATTTTCATGCTATGACTAGTCAATTATGACTAGTTATATAATCATGTTATGCCATACAACTATAGCTATCAATGTCATTATTGAGACGTCCACGAGAGCTAAAAGTCGTAGGCAGCGAGACAGACAGACAGACAGACAGACAGACAGAAAGACAGACAGACAGACAGACAGACAGACAGACAGACAGACAGACAGACAGACAGACAGACAGACAGACAGACAGACAGACAGACAGACAGGCAGGCAGATAGACAGAGATAGATAGATAGATAGATAGATAGATAGATAGATAGATAGATAGATATATAGATAGATAGATAGATAAGGTACTCCAAACGTCGCTGCAGTTCGCTAAAAAAAGCTTCCGCATTTATAATCAGACAATTTCAAACGCACTGCAGTTTTCTGTGCCATGTGAATCAGCAATCTGCCCTCCCGTTCATATCATTCTCGCACTCATGACCATCGCAACCATAAAGAAATACGTCGATAGAATACGGTAAACCTAATTCGTGTCTTACTCTCAAGAAGGGCCCTAACGATTCGACACTGTGCTACACACGAATGCTCGGAAAGAGTGGTAAACAAAAAAAAAAAGCTTTTTGCAGATCAATAAGTAAGCACGAAAATTTCTGCGAGACAATGAAAACAAGAAATACACATTTGAAATGTTGTGCCAAACAAGCGTTTCAGTATGGGGGGCGTGTGTGTGCCATACGAAGATTCTAGATGCTGACGTGCACACAAATAATAAATGCACAATTATGATGTAGTTTAAACACAACATCCTTTGTGGATGCACAAAACACTATGCTAGCGCGCAAGTTGAACAACTCTCACAAGTAATTCGGCAAATAACTTTTAAACCATATGAGCGCGCACGTGAATACAAATAAATTTTTCACGGAACTTAGGGACTCTTTTTACTCACGCAGTTCAATCAGAAAATTTAATGTTGAACACCTATCATTCATAGGTATCTATTGTAGTGCGCTACATAACATACTATAGAAGAAAGTTGTTGCGCTCGTCATTCACTTAATTGCATCGACGCGTTTACATGTGACCCAATAAGCAGGTTGGTCATTCTTTACTTTTTTATTGCAGGGCGATTGATTTGCTTTCTTTTTTTTCTTCACATTTTGTAGTTACTATTGTAAAAAGGAGAACGCAAGAAAAAAAGAGATGAACACACAGAGACAAATAGTTGGAAGTCGGTGCTCATTTGTATTTTTTGCATTCGTATTGTTGCTTCATATATACAGAAGTTTTAAAGGATTTCTCGAAGCTTAACAATAGTCATGCTTTCCCTCTTTTTTTCCTACTGAGAACGAAGTTAACAGTTTTGGAAGACCTTGTGTTGTCACTGCTCAATAGATTTGCAAGCAATTGCAGTTTAATATATTTGCTTCACTGTTAATATTGTTGTTTCCTGTGCTCAAACTCTACCCCTCCTTACGCTACACCCTTTCGGCCCTGAGTGGTTCATAATAATGAAATATAGTAAAAGTTCATTGTTACGTTTCAGTCATCGTTGCAGGTGGCTATTACAAATAACTTTCCCTCTACCATTCACAAAGCTTCGGCGCAAGCTTTCTATTGTGATTACCATGATTCAGCGGCTTGCCCTAGTCATTGTGTTTTGCCTCAAACAGGTATTGCAGAGCACTCTAACTACGTTAGCTTGACGGCGCACAAAGAAGTCTATACGTGGTGAACTGACACTGTCATTTCTTTGTATTAGAGGAGTTGTTGGAAGGAGGAGTGTGAGGCCCCTTCATCAGATAGCAACGAAATGTTCGTGAAATTCAAAAATCTCACTCCTGGAGGACTTTATGACGTGCAGAGTTACCCTCAAGTACAACGATCAAGCTGTAAAACGCATTGCATTCAACACCTATAAATGTAAGTCCGCCAGGGCGAAAGTGCACTTTCAAACGCTTCCATCAGAAAAACTCAGGTCGATACTTTCGTGACTGTTACACCATGGAATGCCATTTAGAATACGGTAAATGTTTATACGTTCATAACGAAGGCTACTTTACTACTAACAAGGACCATCCTACTGCTGTTTGACCAACATCGTAAGTTCAAAAGAGACAAAAACCAAGTGACCGCTCATCGCAGTATTGAATGGTTAACAATGTTTTTCTCTGTTTTTCGCGCAGTTTTTTCGAGTGTATTCTTCTACCACGATAGCGTCAAATAGCTCGTTACGCAGAAATTTCAGCGTCGGCGCCGACGTAGTTAGTTGTAATAAAAGGTCATTATCTTGTGCATGAATTGAAAATCGAGATAAATACAAACAAAACAAATATCAAATATTCTGGGTTGTAGTGAGGATTTATTCGGAGTCGTTTTCGTGGCAAGCAAGAGTCTTACCACAGAGCCACGAATGTACTTCAAGATACAGCGCAAATTCAGTAAAATGAGCTTGCATGCTTTCGAATGCACGCGCCATTCACACATGCTTCACAATGCAACATGCATTATCGCCGTAATAATATGTGGTAAAGCATACGTTACTGTCGGGTGTCAGAGAATGCAATTATGATGAACTCGTGGCTCAAAGCGGGCAACCCACTACAAAACGCACACGCGACACATCGTCTTGTCGCTTAATGCGAAGCAGTAGGTGCGTAGTAAGATAGAAAAGGTTTCACGCGCAAAATTTGCAGGGGTGAAAAGCATGCTACCCAATACACATAATGCAACTTCATTCAAAATTTTGACTGACACAAATCATTTCGAACTCAGTGCGCCCCAGAGACAGAAAACCATTATTGCATTCATCTCATAAAGCTGAAGCTTAAAGATTCCACAATTTTTTTACCGGGGGGACGTATTATGCTGTTGCTGACACATGTTGATGTGTTGACTAAAGTATGAATCAAGGAACATTTGTGAACATAAAGGTTTTTTTGTTTATTCCCCCCTTCCTCCCACTCCGCGTTTGTTACGGCACGCAATATTTCCGACAAGGTGAACGAGCAATGAACTATCTTACTTTGCCATGTGGTTAGGGAATTCCAGAATGGGTGTTGCTCAAAGGTATTGAAGAGCACTCGTTCCGTGTGTGTCGCCGTACATCCTGCACAACCTGAAAACTGTACAAGAAAAAATGGCATTATTCTAAGCAGGAAGCCTTACTACGTCATAAAATGCAAAAATGGGCTATCGGTGTCGCCTACACCAGTGAAGCATGACATATTCATCTAACGGCTCCTCATGACTTGGTAGTTAGTCACATAATACTAATTTTCATGACGTCATTTAGTTCATATGAGAGATCAACAGCCGATCTGAAGAAGGCATTCAATACACAAATACAGAAAGTCCTCATATATCTCTAGTAAGGCGACAGATATGAATATTGGTATCAAGTGATAAATCGAAGCTATCTTTTATTGTCTTCGCTTTATAGAAAAGGCCCAACTTATCTCGATAGCAGCAACACTAACCTAATGCGCTATATTGAGGAAATTTTTTTCTTTTCACATTGCATGGAATAAAGGGTTCTTTATGATTTAGGTTTCTTTTTGTGTTCTACTTCGCAAGCACTAAATTTAACATAATGATAGCAACAAAGTCACTGCCTTGAGTCTGTCAACGTGTCGACGAAATATGCGAACCACTCTTGCATGCCTTTCCAATTTATTGATAACACCCACGTTTACTTTTCACATTGCAGAGAACACACCCTGTACCAGATGGCATGGAATAATCCCTGTCACCGGAAAACAGGAGCAACCAAATGATCGCTCTCAACTCACGCTCCTTTTATCTTAGGCTTGTTTCGGAGGTCGTCGCAATGGTTAAAAAAAGACAAATGCTGACGAGATGACACCAAAGAGAAACAAGTACTGTTTCTCTATATTCCACCGTAAACAAGACAATAAAATTTTTGTCCACCTATCTGAGCCTATTCATAAACCGAGATGTTTTACCCGGGGCCTGGCTGCATGAAAACGAATGTTAGTAAAAATCATCTGTGCTGATGCAGGAGGTAGTGTCACAAAATCAGAGGTACCAAGGCCCGCAAAAAAAAAGACGACATAATCTAAAAAGAAAAGGCCAAGTAATTAGGGCTGACTGCTGGTGCATCAGTGAACGTACTAAAAAATAAGAGGTATAATAAAAAAATAAACGCTAGTTAGGGTAAAATACCGGTGATACACGTGTGAATTAACGTCTAGAATTGGGCACTTGAATCGGAATTATTGGGCTTTAGGTGAACAAGTGAATCAAATAAGAAATATAAAACTATTCACACAAAAGCATAATGTTACAGTGGGTACTAAGCTACTCTGAAATCATATAGAACAAACGACACAGTTGATAGCGTGGCACATAAAGTACATCAGGCGTATAATATATCACGGCCGCCTCTATTGAAGAGTGATACGCGATGTCTGCTGAATCCCCTGAGCTGTCAATTGTCCAAGGAAACTTGATTCAGATATGGTTATGTAGCAAAACTCCGAGTTATGATAAAGTCCAAGTAGTAAATGGTTGTTTATTTAGGTTAGCAGATCTGGTAAAAGAGTCATTGGCAGGCATTCGGCTTGGCACGGCCTGCACGAAAGCATTCTTGTGTATAAATAACACTAGCTGACAGTGCTATACCTGCTCAAGAGAAGAAGCTGAAGAAGGACGTAGAGCACAATCTTCAGAAAAAGCTACGATGAACTTTGAAAGAAAGATTTACACAAGCTAAATTATTTGGAGAAGCAGCCCCCATAAATAGCTAAAGCAGTTGGGCCCACGGCCTAGAGCAAAAGAACGGCTCTGCGCGCAGTAGGTCAACTTTTCGAGGAATCAGAAATAGCACAAGTGTACTAATTCAAAACAGAAAATACGATCTGGTTATGGTATGTTTCGCTAGAGTATTAATGTTCTTTCATTTTAACAGAGAAGGCCTCGCGAATAAAGATCTGTTGCGGCTACAGCGCCGCATTTAGGAGCCATCTCTCGAGATACATAATCACCTTAGGCAACATGTTAGTAAGCTTTGATGTTTGGTTTGAAAGTTTTCCGAGAATACCCATGTTTTTCAACTACTGTGTTCCGGGGACAGATTTTTGTATTGCACATCTTGAACTGAGTGCGTCAGTGTTGTGTTAAGTGACCTTGTATAGCTTTTTGTTTATTTTCCAATATACGATGAACACTGTTGTGAAAACGCTTTGCTAACAAGGACTGAATGCGCGTTTAGGCTACATATGGTGTGGTTGTGCAGGTAAAGCGACACCCCTCTGCACCAATACATCTTATCCAGTCAATATGAAGTATCAGCTCCTCCTTCCTTTCCTGCTGTAAATTGAGTGAGATCTCGCGATTTCAGTACTCTTTGACAAGAGTGCTCTATTAGGGGCTGTTATCGTTGGAGAAGATCATTCTTGACATCTATAAACAGTTCGATTTTACTTACGGGAAGAATAAGGTGAACGTGAAACAGAGGAACACCCGTTAGATAAGGAGCAAGGTTACTGACGACAAGAATACGTCCGGGCAAAACGCTGTTCAGCTGACTCTTCTGCGCTTGTCCTGAAGTCGCGAGAAGATACGTAATCCCCTGTCAGATCATTATATGTAGTCGTATACATACGTTCCAACGTAAGCCATGTGCATAAGAAATGGAAGAGCGTAATATTGATTTGTCATCATCATGCTGGCATGAACTAGCATTTTAATATAATATCTGGAGTTTACTGTCCCGAAAGCAGGGTATGATTATCAAGGGAACCGTAGTGGAGGGCTTCGAAATTTCTACCACCTAGAGTTATTTGACTGTGAACCCTAATCTAAGTACTACGTTGGCCTCAGACATTTTTGTCTCCATCAAAATTGCAGCCTCCGTGGCCGAGCTTCGATTCCCGCCATTTTCAAGCAGCAGTGCCATAACCACAAGACCCACGGAATGGGCATCTAACATTCTCTTGAGTTTTCTCTCAAAACTTTAGGGAAAAATGAAAGACCGCTTGACAAAGGCGCATTACTCTTTCTGAACCCTTCTAAGTACCCGTAAAAAGCTTCGTAGTATTGTCATGCACGCATATGACGCTTAACTAGATAGGGCCGAGAGAGGCAAAACAGATACTACGTGGCCAAGTAATTTAAGGACAATTTATTCAACGGACTCTTGCGCTGACAGTGGGAGATGAAATCACCCGGTGACGTAATACGACCACGTGACTGTACGGCGGGTGCTAGACCGTTGGCGTGAGAAGGCGTAAGCGGTCATCCCCTATCTCATCCTTACGTCACAATCAAGCTTCAGGCAGGCAGACGGCTGCGCTTGATTACGACTGATAACGAGTAAGAATGACGTTGAAGTGTCTAAATAAGCCGATAAAAGATTCGTGTCTCATTTCCTTTGAACGGACATTGCAATAATGTGAGCCCACCTTGGTGGAACTGCGGATATGGTGCTCAGCTATATGCTGCCCCTAAGGACGCGAATTCAATCCCAGTCGCGGCGGTCGCAATTCGATGGGTAGAGGCCTGTGTATTGAGTGATGTTAGTGCGCGTTAAAGAACACCGGATGGTCAATATTTTCGGAGCCCTGCACTATGATGTCTCATAATTATTTGGTCATCTCGCGACGTAAAACATAAGATATTATTATTACGCTGTGCCAGTTAAACATTGATTATGTACAGAATGTAGGGGCATAACGCGTCAGTTTGTGAAGGAACAAGATCTCTATTAGCGCTTAGGAAGCCCGTATAGCAAGGGTGTCATCTGCAAGTGAGTAGTGTTTGCTACCAACTGGTCAATTTATGCGCAATAAACACCATCGTAAAACGTCCTTCTTATACATAAAGGTGCGTGAGTCGATCATCTTAAGAGCTATCCACACACCTCGCTGTTTGAGCAAGCACCCAAGTGAAGTAGAACATACGCTTGCCACGCAAACGACCAAGGTTTCATGGCCACTCGAACTCAGCACTTTTTATTATTTATTATGTTCGCTTCGTTCTGCATTTCTCGGTGACGCATATGATTTTCCGCTTATTACAAACCAGCCGACCCCGGCGCCAACGCCGAAATTTTTGCGAAACGAGCTCTTTAACGCTATCACGTTAAGACTCTAATCATGAATGGGTATAAACTACAGAAAGCGGGTAAACCCAACCACTTTCCACCAGTCTGCTGAAAAGAAAGAAGGCAGCAGTTATTCAAACGAGCGAATATGTGCCACAGAAAATCGCTAGGCATATCAGAGAACTATCATCATCATAAAAAGGCAGGTGCTGTGCTTTCATGAAAGATGTAACCGAGAGTGCCAGGCACCTAACTTAGAATCGCAGACTATGGCGAGCGCGTTACCGCAGTGAAAGCACTGTCAGGCTATACTTGAAGGCTATAAAAGCTGGTGCACAGCTAGCGACTAACCATACGTAGCCTCGAGTCTAGAAAAGAAAAATGGCACTCCCTACGAAGAAGTCACCATCCGAGAAGCAAGGGCTGACGCTGTGCCAGAACGGCAACGGTAGCGTATCAACCAAGTTCACACAAATTTTCAACGACGCAGACCCCCAGGTCATAAGAAACTGAATCAAAAGTGCAACATTGGACGGCCAAATTTAAGTAAAATTTCAAGCAAAAGGGCTGATTAGATATAGCAATTAATAAGCAGATGGTGTTCATATCATCGTAGGAACGACCAAATTTTGCGATACCAAACAACGTTTGATGAAAGCCACGGGAAATTTGAAACCCTTCCATGAGAGAATGGCTCTTACACATCATTTGTGTTATCTTTTTCAGCATAACGTACTCAATAGAACCAATGACTTTGCCGTCTTCTGCGAAACAAGCTCTCATTCGCGGTATTATCTCGCGAGATGGCAGTCTAAATTTTGAGCTCTGAGCAAGCACAGTGGTGATCCTACTAAACTCCAAAAACAGAATTCCCTCAAGTGGTCGCTGCTGAGGCATGCACAATCTTTCAAGTGCGGCTATGCGTGACATCACACATGGAGTTCTTATTCTCATTATATGCCGGTTTCATTTACCTACTGAACCTGACTGGCAACTTCAAAGTGGTTCATGCTATGATAATCGAGACAGCCCTGAGTCTGCTCCACCACGACAATTTCTACAAAGGTTGTACTTGCAAACACATATTCATGTTATTCGCAATGGTACCCTTACTTTAGCCAAACCTTTTCGCAGGTTCGGGCCTGTGGAACGAAACAACTCTAGAATGTCTTTTAGTAGAGCTTGATGAAATTAAAAAAGAGAGAGAACAGTTCCGGTTTGCACAAAAATAGTTCTCGTCCCGAGTATTTCTAAATCCCGCGCTATATTGCCACGTTCCATTTCTCAAGTTTTGTTATCGCCCCGAACCACTACACAATTCTCAGCGCAAAACGCGCGTGCAGTTTTCGAGAAGCTTCCGAACTTTAGTAGATCATTTCGATAAGATCACGCCCACTCTGCCAACTGTACAGATTATTCTGGAACCAACGCCACCACCAGCGATAACGCTAGAACATTCGATGGCAAGAGTACAAAGGCCGACGCACTTCGCCGCTTGTGAGTAGTTGATCGACGGCCAACGCTCCGTTCGGCGCTATCAGTCCAAGAATGCTACTGTAATCAGGACTTCCGTTAACCGGGCACAGGTTCGCCCAAATAAACAGTTAAATTCCAACGCAAAGTTTCCTGTCTTCGGCCACGTCACAACCCCGTGACAATATTCCCCTCTACTGCCATGAAACCTGATAGGTTATGTAGCACCGGCAACCTAGCATTTCCCTTGCCAGTCGCGTGCTTGCCGACGTAGTCACGCCCTCTTTTGCGTTGAGTGGGTATTAGCAAAATCTCATAGAAGAGGTTAACTATTGCAAACAGTTCTCGGCTATTTCAGTTGTTTCTATTTTTTAAAACCTTCTTTATTTATATCACATTGTTCTTGGCCATTGTTTGCCTTGTTTCAAGCCAGCAGTGATTCCTGTGTGAACGTGTGACACGAGACGTTGAATGAACGTGAGGCTAATCAAATAAAGTGCCATTCACTTGAAATTCTGTCTATTTTTATGGGACAGCCTTCGATTGTCCTTAGCTTCTGGTCAGATAAAGCACAGCATCATGGAGTTCTGTGACTTGTCCTCATCAATTCTTGAATCTAGGTTTTGATCACCATTAGTAGCTATGCCAACGAAGCCTCCCTAGCTGCGTGGTCCTGCGGATTGCTCAGAAGTGGCATCAATGGGATATATTTGTAGTAAATGTTTTTAGGCCTTCTGCTTCGGGTCAGTAGTGCTTTAGGTATTTGTATTTTATAGATCTATACCACCAACGCTTCGGGATTGCTTGAAATAAAACACTCAAAAATTTGGGATGAACATGCAAGTCTTCACTGAATCAAGAAGTAAGAGTCGCATTAAAAGATATATAAAAAGAGAAGTGATTTATGATGGTTCTGACTCTTAAGTACTGCAAAGTGAGTATTCTGTTATTTGGTATTGTGAAAGGAAGTGTCACTGCGCATAATAAGAATCCTACTATTGGAGACTACTTGTGTAACTGCAACATAATATCTTTCTCTAGTGATGACAATATTTCTTGCTTGCTTCACACACTAACGTTTCTAAATACCACTTATCTTGTTGAAAATACAACATGCCATTCTGCCTTAACGATGTGAGCTCACATCGTTGCATTCCTGATAAATAAATAGATAAGAGAGTTGCCGTGAGTGGTGAGTAATCACTCATAATAAGCCAGTGATTCATTCATCCTTCGCTCACCGTTTCCAGAAACAAATAAATTTTGCAGCGCATATCATCGTGATGCCAATGTTATTTCGGCTAGCACTGATATAACAGTAGAAAGTTAGTCATTGATAAACGTGAGTGCACTTCCTTGATGGACTATATAAACTCAATTCTGACGACACGACCGGCAGAATCCGTGAAGGGGCTTACTTGCCGAGTTGCTGGTTCAACCGAAAGGGCTTCGGCTTCGGTTCTGTTTTCGGTATGTAAAAAGAAGCGTTTGATCATTCAGTGTAGTGTTTCCGCATGCAATTTTTCGAACACTGCCTTTTCTTTACCACAACTATCTTTTCGACAAAAATTGTCAAACATGATTCATCACGTGCCCACTTGTGATCAACTCTTGAATACAATTCTGAGAACAGAAAGAACCATTTCCGTGTCACCTCCACTTGTATGGACGTTGAATTTTTTTCCCTCTCAGGGCAATATGGCAACAGAAGAAAAACCGATTCCTGTTCGTTATTGGCCGAAAGATGAAGCCGTCAGTCTAGATGGAAAGTGGCAAAATTGCTCGCATTCGCGAAAAGAACACCAGCTGCAGCAGCAGCAAAACGGATGCACCCCGATGACAATCTTGAAGATATCTCTACCGATCATAGCGTTGATGTTTTTCGCTCTTCCTGTTATCACTGTCTTCGTTTTTAGGCACATAGAGAGGGTGAGTGTGTTTTCTTTATGCTAAACTTTCGTTTTGTCTTTTTTGCGGTATATCTGGTCAGGACTTGTATCTTTGGAGCTATTCACACTGCACCTCAACATTAGCGTGATTCTGGTTGAATTTTTTGGTATTTTCCACACTGCTAAATTAATCATATCTCTTCTTATTGAGGTTACCTCGGGCACAGTTGGAGTGGTTGTAGCGGAGGAAGCATCGTCAGAGCTAAAATAGACGGTATTCGTCTGTCTCACTCAGGAGTGTTTTAAATCACTTTACTTGTCATCTATTGATACTGTTGTTCTTTTTTGAGGGAAAAACGTCCCTCGATCACTGCTCTAAATAACCACTAGTGATAACCGGGAATGGAGGTGCAAGTGAGTCCTTCAGAGATAACGTTGACCTTGATATCATCGTTCGTGTAGAAAGTTTAACGCGATTGTGTCATTGAGCTCAGTTCGTATACACTCCGCTTTCGGCATCATTAGTAGTGAAAGAAAAATGATCCTCTTGAAGAATAGCGAAAAATAGAGAAAGGTGAAGATTAATATTAATGAAAATTGTCGGGCCTAAATCAGGATCAATCACAGTGATTCTGCGTTGCAAGAAAGTGTTCTGCCACAAAGCTACAGTACTTATTCTATTGACATTTAAAAATTGTATATTAATGTCATGCTCAGAAAGGAGTCTTTTTAACCCAGCATTTATTGCGTGGCATGAACGTTGAATCACGTCAGGCGCCAAAATATTTGATTTGAGCTATCAGTGAGTTTTTTGAAAGGCCCACCTATTACAAAGCGCTCCGATATTTTTAATTATCATCAACAGTGAAACCACCAACAAAGAGAACAGCTGCTATGGTTTATCTCGTCACCTAAACACGGTTAGATGGTTATTTGCTGCTTCGCAAGATAAACAGTTATGGCATAGCCGGCACTCAACAACTGGGCTTGAGCCCCGCCGCGGTGGTCTAGTGGTTAAGGTACTCGGCTGCTGACCCGTAGGCTGCGGGATCGATTGCCGGCTGCGGCGGCTGCATTTCCGATGGAGGCGGAAATGTTGTAGGCCCGTGGGCTCAGATTTGGGTGCACAATAAAGAACCCCAGGTGGTCGAAATTTCTGGAGCCCTCCATTACGGTGTCTCTCATAATCATATGGCGGTTTTGGGACGTTACACTCCACATATCAATCAATAAATCAACAACTGGGCTTGAAGTGAACATTCAATAATACCGGTGTCATATAGCCACATTTATCTGTGATCAGTATCGATCCGAATTAACTATTATCCGGATTAGGTGCTATTACATGGGGACTTTAAATCGCGATCAGGTGTGATGGGAATCAAGACTATCGCGATCCGCGCATCGCGATCTGCCTGACAGATTGGGATTTCACTGTGGTCTGCACCCCCTGGTTGAACTTGTTGAAAGCCCAATAAACAAGAAAATCGAACATAGTTCAATTGAAAAACTTCAAAACATCTAGATGCTCATGAAAAGCAAATTTTAAACTGTTCAAACTAAAACAATACCAGAAATATCAATTCTGAAATTCATATCGACCGCATGTAGTTATGGAAAAAGCAGACGACCGCTGCTTTTTGCCCTTAGTTTAACTCTCGCACCGTCGGAGCTGTCGGAGCACCTTTAAACTACGTCGCAATGGAGGCACACCCCGTGGTCGAATGAAGAGACCTAAATTTACAGTAATTGACCACAGGCAGAGTGACTGGAAGAGTCGAGGCACCAGAAGTGAGACTCTGGTGCGTAAAACGAGATTGACACTTCGCTGTGACTGGATGGCTATGAGCAAGACCATCAAAAATAAAAAGTAGGTTAAAAATCTCACAGAAAAATACAGGTTAGTGAAAGAAAAACTATCAAATGATGAAGTTCTGAAATTACTTTCGTACTGGCACACAAAGCTGTTGAGGTTCGGGCTGAGAAAGGGCTCTACCAAAAAAATCTTACGCAGTTTTGTCAGTGACGCGTTTTACGGCACGCAACCAACGCAAGCGTCACTTGGGGTGGCTTCACATGTTGAGTTAAAGCTTAGCAAAGTTGTTAACAGTTTCCATAAAAGTCTGACTCCTCTGAGCAAATTATCCTAATACTCGTTTTTCAATGTTTTACGTGCGAACTTTCAAAGTGAAGATGGCCGCTTATGTCGGTAGGCTTCCTGTGAAGCTTAGTAGTAAGCTTGTTGTGAGCTATCAAAACTGTGACGCCAAGAAAGTTAATGGTAAAAGGACAGTATTCGTGACAAAACCAAATAGATTTGATGAGAGCGTTGAAATCAGCTATAAAGGATAAAAATTCACTTTCGCCATAGGACAAGATATAAAAAAAATGTCATCAATCAATTGCATATAATAAAGAGGCTTTAACGCCCGATATTTATACAGTGATCTTCCAGAACGATGATGAAAATACTAGCGTATTTAGGTCCAATGCGATTGCCCATTGATTTTCCCCTTATATGAAGATAATGAGAACCTTCAGACTGAAAATTGTTAGGCTGTCAGAATAATTTCAATAGGGTAGCTATTATGTTACTTTAAATCGGACTTTTCAGCAGACTATTGCTCGTACGCGTGGACGACAGCCTGGATGCTAGCGGTATGAGGTATACTGTTATAAAGTGAAGCCATGTCTATAAGGTCATGAGCAGCGAATTATTTGGTAACACGTGGTCATCAATGTTCGACAAAAATAGTTAGTGTTTGAGATGGGACGAGAATTCCCATCAATGACTACTGATTATTACATCAACGTAGCGCGAACTTTGCTTCGTGACAGAGCCTATGCCGAAAAAACAATGGGGCGTCATGGAAGAGTTTTCTTCATGTAATTTAGGCAGAAAATAAAACCTGCCAGTGACCCAAATCAGCGGGACAAGGAAACGTACGGCCTTATGGCCTAATTCACTTGCTCTTACGAGATCATTGATAGTACCTTGTAAAGCTACTTTGAACCCTACAGTGGGACCATAGTCTAGGCGCTTATAAAAATTGAATTGTTGAGCAACCCATGGGCTTCACTCATATAATCTGTTTGGCTCATAATTACAATGGCACCTTTTTGTCGGCTCGCTTTATACCGGTATCACTGCGTTCAGCCAATGACGGAGTAGCTTTCCTTTCCTCAAATGAAATAGATTTAAACTATTTCTGCTTTTCATAGGTTTTGAGGACGTCATGTCGGACAGCTTCAACAGAATTGTCTAGATAATTGTCACGTTGGGCTGCAGTGGCCTATCGGTCGTTGCTGAACATAACTGGCTGCTTGTCGCTAAAGAACGGATGGTTACGGAAACCTTCTATTAGACTCATGTTACGTGAATTTTTTTCTAAGTTCCTAGCCAATTCAAAATCATTGTATCCGTCATTTGCAAGACATAAGGTGAGGCCCCATGACAAGATGGGCAGTTCGTCTTTATTTAAGCTTATGTGCAAAAGGCACACTATTTCGGTAGACGGCCGCGTGGTATTCTCAGTAAACGCGTTTGTTAGGACTGCCGTTATTGCCTGCTCTGGAAACAACAAGCGGTCCAAGCCATCATAGAGCAGCATTTTACGTTTTCAGTCGTACATTCCAGCTTCTTCACTTTATATCTATCCAATGCCTCGATTTCAGTAGACGGTGCGTTTACCTATACGTTATTTAAGAAACACTCCTGTGTGAGATTAACAAAAATTTTATAAATTTTCGTTATGATGATGCTTTTTCCACCTCAACTACTATAACTGTGTTCGAGGTAAAGATGATAGGCTTGTGGGAACACTTACAGCCTACGAAATGTTTATCAAACATCTCACGAATCAGCAATCAGAAAACGCACGGGAAACAAAAGGTTGTAAAGCGCATAAATGATACTTCACTGATAATGATATTTATAGTAAAGAATGAAGTGTAGTTTGCATTATGCCATTGAAACTTTCCTTTATTTTCAGATCTCAGAATATGGACCTCAAACCACTGGTAAGTTTACGTTCTATAAATTGCAACATAGCATATATCGAGCCTTTACAGAAATATGACAGCTTAAGGCAGGTAGTGATAGGTTATCTGAACAACCAAGTGTAAGTAACTGAAGAATAAGAATTATTTGGAGTGCTATAATTGGGGCAGGTATTGACTAATGAAGATCGGCAGTTGAACCACACCTGCCAAAAGAAAAGCATATCACTACTGCGTCTTGCAGGTAGTTACTTACCCGGGCAGAGGGAGGCTATTATAACACTCAGTTTATTATAGACGAGGCGGCGGCCACCCTTGGAAAACAAAATGACAGTTGTATCGTAAAAGGAAGGCAGAAAGACAGACATCTTAACCAGTCTAGAGGAACTGGTTCGCTATGCTAGGGAAAGGGACGGGTAAGTTTCAAGATAAAGCAAGTGAGAGGAAGAACGGGGAGAACACGCACATACTAAGACGTACACTTCACATTTATGATAAGGTGATTATCATCACCCGTCTGTTTAAGGTGGATGCCCCTAAGAACTCGAGGGTTTTATATTGCATATTCTAGAATAGCACTTACCTCACCATTTCTTTCGAGCTAGGCCATGTTGAGCAATCACTCCACTTGCTCTATGTTTCATGCCACACAAGTAGCCTCCCATAACCTCATATATCTTCTCTAAAACCTGCACATGCGAATGTGGTACCAGTTGTCTGGGCCACCCTCACAGGCTTTTCTGATGCACGACCATGGGTTTCCAGCAAAACAACGCTTAGACAACGGTGACTTGTGAAGTGTTTACCATTTAAAATTTCAGAGTACTATTTAATCTCATTCTCAATTGTCGAAAATTGTCACTGTAGCCTTGTACTTCTAATATGTAGAAGTAATTGCAATATGTAACAACAGGTATATGAACAGGAGGGGTCGTTGCAACCACAGACATCTCGCGTTGCGTAATACGTTAGGTAGTGCAGGAATGAGTGCTGCAACATGGATAGATCATATATACTTGATGAAACCCAACCGACGATGAAGGAAATAAATAAATTTGGGACATTCGTTGCAATGATTTAAGCATTCTGCAGTAATTTTGATATAAATAGGAACAAACGAAATAAAAAAAGGAGCTTACAGCCAACAAAGACCAAACCTGCAATGTTCGAATAAAGCGCCGGAATAATTCACGGTATTTCTACGCACGCAAGTGAAGAGGTGTTTTTATTTCGTTATATAAATAAAAAATTCGAAAAACTCCCAAAATTTCCCCTCTCTAGGTAATATAAATATACTGTTTTTTTTTCGTTGCTAAAATAGAAGACACTCTCACGTGCAATAACCAAATATGTTTAGCTACACAGAAATGTGCTTTCAGGTTGCTGAACTTGGCTCTCACATTCCGTTTGTTCAGTGTGGTTCGGCACATTTTCACAGAACTATTTCTTTCAAAAAGTCACAGCTTTGACGCAAAGGCTAAGCAATGAACGCGATAGCAATGAATTAGAAGGCCACGTGCCAAATGGCAAGCAAATCAAAACGTACCCCGCGTTTTCACTGCACAAAGGACGCATGAAACGTGCTCACAGGTACAGATGAACGCGAACAAGTGTCTCAGTTGTTACTTCGCTCTGTCTGAAAAGCACGCTTTTTTCGCGAACGGAGATTGTGCAACGATTGCAGTGACCTTTGTGCGGCCGGTAACTACAACAGAATCGTTCCGGTGAACGCTTAAGGACAGCCAAGACATAGGATGCTCACAACTGTGAGATAAGGGCATGAGAATGTGTGCTAAAGGCTTTACGACCACCTAGTCCTCTCCGCGACGCGAAATACGCGTGGGAGATGAGGGCGCGCGCCGCTGCGCGCTCATCGCGCCACCTTGCTGTTAATGCTGAAAGCACGATTGTTCGCCTGCGAGATGCGCATCACCAACGGTAAGTGGTGTATATGAATAGATTCCGTTTGCACATTCAAGGACGTGCTTTTCGTTAGCTCAGTCGTTAACGCCTCGCTCTCACGACGCAGAGGTTCCGAGTTCAATTCCGCTTGCCGGAGTTTTTTTACTGGATCTTTTTATTTCTTACGTTTTCATAAATATACATACGTACACATATACGGTGAGTGACGCCGGCGGCAAAATTAAGCCGAGAGTGTCCATGTATTGCTATTGCAATAATATACATTTTGTTCATATATATGAAATATATACTGCATTTATATGCAAATTTGCCTACGCTGTAATAACCCTTCAGAGTAGTACAAAAGAACACAGGAAGGTATTCAATATAATTGACTACAAACTACCCAAGTATGTACCACACTAAAAAACACACTTTAATTGGGGTGGAATAATTGTACTTCGTTCCAGTGCTCCCCGATTTGGATAATCTTACCCTGGTTGATATTGGGCCTGACCACTTCACCGTGTCCTGGATGCATCCCGTGGCCCAGTTTGACTATTACTGGTTGGAAGTTTACAAAAGAGACGACGGAAGTGATACTATTACACCTCAACGCGTCGGATCGTGCGCTAATGGAACTATCGTTCACCGTGAGCAAACTCAAATCACCTGCGACATGTTCAAGCCGTGCAGCAATGTGACGATCACACTGCACACGCAAGCAAAGGGCACCTCTGAATTCGTGTCTACTGGAGCTACGCTCCAAGGAATATTCATGCCTGGAAAAGGTACAGTGCATTTTTTTTCTAACACCCACCTAGCCGTCATTCTTGTTAGAAAAAATATATTAACCTGTTTTTCACGGTATAAATGTTTGTAGTATTGGTGGTAAGGCTAAACCTCGTGACATCAAAATATTAGAACATGCACAAATATTGCCTACCTTGCACAGTGGTTGCAAATCATGCCCACAGAGCGCGATTACGCTATCGTCCTCTACATTCAAAACCGAACCTCAGACGCCCTCTTAGGTTTCGTACGAAGCAGCAAAGTCAACAGAGCGGAGACGTGCAGCACCAGAGCTATAATTTTCCAGAACCTTAGCACGCTTCACTAATTGTTCACACAACTTCCCCCATTTCGTAACATAAATTGTGGGGCTACCTCAAGTGGGACAATTCGCAATTATTCACAACAAGAACATTTTCTGTGACGTCGGTTAACTCGTACCTATTCTGAACAAAATGTAGTTGTTTCACGCACTCACTTTATGTTCGAAGCCTGTGAGTTATTTTCGAGTCACGTAGTGCATGAATTCTGTTAAAACATTGATTCCGTACGTGCCATCCTGAAAGCTTTCTGAAGTGGAACTTGCCGAGAGACTCGACTAGGGAAAATCTTCCACACACCCCCACTTATCACAGAAATCGATGCTACGGGAAACACGCGGCTGGAAGATCAATGCGGTATAAATGTTTTACATGGCGAAACAATGCCAAATTACACTAACTACATGCACAAGCGTTGACCGCCCAAACAAATGTTCAAAGGTCGAGTGTTGTTAAGTATTCAGTTTCAGTTGCGTAACATTGCCAACAGCAACGTAGATATTGCATATACAAGAAGCGGTAAGCTCACATATAGCGCTTGTGCTTGCGAGGAAGGTAGCGCTAGTAAGTGTCAAGTATAAAGCATCCATGAAATGTGCACAATTAGTCAAGTGACGTTATCCTGGCTTAACGCTTGCATCAAATGAACACATATGTAATGCCTATACACCATTTTTGAAACGCGCTCAGCACTGCAATCTTGGACGGATAATTTTGTGGTTTAGCATTCGTATCAAGTAAACAATCAGTGCTACGGTGACCTCACACGCACGAAATCGCTTTGCTGGCACATTCAACGTTTCATGACCACGATCATTTCATGCTGTGACAAAATCAAGAAAACAAAGGCTTATCAGTCCAAAGTGGCTGCTCCCATTAGTCGAAAAGAAGATTGTATGTAAAATAAATAGGAAGCACTGCAACCACAAGTGGCTTTTCAACAACATTAAACTTATGTAGGCTTATTTTCTAAAGCAGTTTTGAGAGCTGGCGCGGCTGGATTTCCACGCAGAATGATCGACTTCGATTATGTGTTGAGACCCTGATATTTTTTACCGATTCGTTCGGACAAAGCTTTTAATGTGTGCTTTTTCTAACACTCTCGCATTAAAATGACGAAGGTCATTTCAATGCGAAAGCGTTCAGAGAACACTAACCGCCCACTTCGCCACATTCACACACCCCACCGTTTTTGTATGTATAGAAACTCTCAGTCAGCTGTAGCCTCTTCCCGCATACTACGGCACGTGGTTGAGGGGCATGTGGCACACGTGTCTGGAGCAAGGCGTTTGACGACGTACGTGATGCGAATTTCACATTATTGATGTAGTAACTAGCCATACCTATTGGTCACACCCTTTTACCCTGCCCTAAGAATTATAGTCTACACCAAATTGAGGAGGCAATTACGTAAACGCCATGACGTAATCTGATGGATAGATACGCATATAGAAGCTTTCATTGTGCCTGAAGGATGCTCGAAATTGCCTCACATTTAAAAATCACAATACACCAATTCTAGTAAAGTTGTGTCTACAGAGACGGTAATTTCAAGTGAAAACTTTTACTTTGGAAGAAACGTATTAAGTACTTTTGTATCCATAAATCCCTAAGGAATTTCAAAGACGTGATTTTTTCGTTGCTAAGTTTGTGGTTAAAAAGAAACTACACATGAAAAGTCATTGTTAAGCACTTTCTGTTAATAGACAATAGGTGACGTGCTTCCTCTCTGGCGTAACGCAGGCATTCCTGAAGTCGTGAAGCTCAAGCAGACAGCCATCGCCAAGAATTCTGTCACTCTGTCCTGGGAACGACCGAAGGGTTGCTTCAATGACTACTTGGTTACAACCAGTGCAGAAAACACGGAACTCTCTAGCCAAGAGACCAGCGCTGGTACATGTGGTAACGGAACCATTGTTTCCGCAAACGAGACCAGTGTCACGTGTGACGGCATCAGGGCGTCAAGTGTGAGCATCATGGTGCAGACACGCAGGTTGAAGTCGGACGGTCTTATTTCGCAAGGCGTGACACTTCAAGGAATCGCCATGTCCAAACTGGGTACACAAGTCTGTATTCACCTTAAGTTTTGTAACTGTGTTTAAAGTGACTGTGATAGATGCGAAACATTCACTTGGATTGGTTACTGAAATGTCTCCCACTTGAAGTTGTGTTGCTCATAATACTGAAGGCAGTGTTTAGACGCCCCTGGAGATATGTTACTCTCAATAATGGTGTCTCCTGGACAGCCACGCTCTGAGGGATAAATTTATTTACTTCAACTATGTTAGCTGATGTTTATTAACTTATTTATTCATAATACCTACAAAGCTCATTGAAGGTGGCTGACGAAAACGAAAAGCCAACATTGAATATAATGGTAACGCAATACCACAGGCCGTCTTTATAGAATATTATGAAGAACGTTGTAATATTACAACGAAGTCACCACCGTTTTATATGGATGAGATGTATATAGTGTAAAAAAATCTTTGATTGTACAATAACTTGAGGCTGTGAGTGCATGCTAAATGTATGCGTTGGATCATGTCTATGTACGAAAGCCAGCGAATTGCACATACGTAGTTTTGGGCCGTAAAACACAAACATTAATAAAGTAAAAAAACTATTAAAACTATATAAAAAACAACCACCAACATTCCTTTATAGGAGACTGCCCTATATTCAATATCGAGATATTAAAAAGAATTCGTAATTACTCTCGCGATGTCTGTTTAGTTGAGGCAAATTATTTTCTTGTCGAAACAGAACATGCGGTGGAAAAGGACAAGAGTTTGACAATCATGAACTTTTTTTAAACGTTGTATTGAACATGTATACCGTTTAAAAGGAAAAGTTCTGGCGAACATGGTTTAAATATGTGAAAGAAAGTCTTAGCGCAAGAAATAACATTTATACTGGACTATTGACTGGGTACCAGCATCTATAAAATATGCGGTTGACACAGAGTTTGGGTGTGGGTACATATTCTCATGCTAAACACAAATACACCAAGGTGATTCATCAGAACTGAACAAACGCAAAAGGCCTACGTACACTGCCGTACAGAGACATACATACGGACTCACACAGAGTCGCAATTCGTTAGAGCTTAATGAAAAATTGGGGCCATAATAGAGAAACAAATACGACGTGAGCACCAAATACAAAATAAAGATTGAACAGGCTGAATTTCACGATGCGGAAAAACGAAAAAAAAATAAAAATGGGGCAAAGATAAGACCGTGATAAACGAGCTATAAAAAGACACCCATATGTTTCGGGGTGAAAAGAAAAAAAAAGTAAAGGTGGCCGGATGAGAACGCACAGTGCGTATATATTTGTCGAGCATATTACCTTACAAAGCTCCAATGGGATGTATAAACCACATCTCTAATCAAGGCTGGTCTCCAGACGAAATCTAGGTGTTTAACTTTCATCTATCTATCTATCTATCTATCTATCTATCTATCTATCTATCTATCTATCTATCTATCTATCTATCTATCTATCTATCTATCTATCTATCTATCTATCTATCTATCTATCTATCTATCTACTATCTATCTATCTATCTATCTATCTATCTATCTATCTATCTATCTATCTATCTATCTATCTATCTATCTATCTATCTATCTATCTATCTACTTATCTATCTGCTGTCTGTCTGTCTGTCTGTCTGTCTGTCTGTCTGTCTGTCTGTCTGTCTGTCTGTCCGTCTGTCCGTCTGTCCGTCCGTCCGTCCGTCCGTCCGTCCATCCATATATATATAGATATATATATATATATATATATTATATAATTATATATAGATATATAGTGTGAGTAATAATTCAAAGGGCCAAATAGTCTTCGTGAAGGTATGGATATGGCACAACGGAGCGTTGTCAACAAGCAACAAGGATAGATATATTTATTCCCAACAGTTTCGGGAGGGGTCCTCCCTTCATCAGTGGATGAGTTATACTCATTATATGGTTATTAGTTATACTATATATACTAGTTATAACTTTTCCCCTGATGAAGGGGGACCCCTCCCGAAACTGTTGGGAATAAATATATTTATTGCCATATACCATATATATATATATATATATATATATATATATATATATATATATATATATATATATATATATATATATATATATATATAGTCAAAAAGTCAAAAAATGCACATGGGTAGCCAGGTTAGGGTGACATTATTTATGGTTTCTGAATTGTTTCAGATTTCACTTCATTGAACAAAATAATACAAGAAAGAAGTTAAACTTTCAGTCGAATAGATTCGAACCTCTAAATTTGAACTCGTGAGCTATATATAATATATATATTTATATATATATATATCTGTGTGTGTAGTGTATGTGTGTGTGTGCGTGTGTGTGAGAGAGAGAGAGATTCTAAATTGACATACTTCATAGTGATCGTGCGTAACACGAATACTTGTTTCTGCAGTGCTGCCCGACGTAACGAACTTCAGCTTGATAGATGTCGGACCCGACTCTTTCACGGTATCCTGGGCAAGGCCGTCCTCTTATTTCGACTACTACTGGGTCGAGGTGTACGACAACAGCAACAGGACAGACATCCCTACACCGCATCGAGTTGGTTCATGTGCATACGGGAACATAATTCATCGAGATCAGAACCAAATCACCTGCGACAAGTTCAAGGCATGCGTTAACGCAAGCATCACAGTACACGCACAAAGCAAGGGTCCCTCAGGTCTGACATCCCCTGGGGCAACGCTCAGAGGTATCTTCATGCCAGGAAGAGGTAGGCTATACTTTCCTCATTCTAATATTGGATCGGAATGAGACAGTTGCTGGTTGTGTAAAAAGTTCAGTAGGCAATGTTCTGACAAACTGCGCAATTTGCTGCTCTGGCACGTCTTGTTCTGCTATCGCTATTTTTTTTGCCAGCACGTAGGCCTGGCATTGGTTTTTTGCGCTGTCACGAGATCGCATAATAATTCTTCATGGTTTCACGTAATTGTTTAAAGCTCAAGCAGCTCAAACTATTAGGGACGCTTTATTGTGATAGCAAGTGCGTCAAGGCGAAGGTAGTGGCCATAACAATGCGTTATTCGCGCTTACATGAAAAAGTAAGAGTGCTAAACATGTCATAATAATAAGAAGCCGAATGTGAATTAGGACGTGTGCCTTATTCAGAGAACGAGGTGGGTTGTTCCGAGTGTAAGACATTGCGCTCAATTGTCTAATATTCATGTCTTACAAAAAAGCTCGTGGATAACCATTCTGGATCATCACGTGTGCACATTGAGTATACTTAGAATAAAATCCTTTTTCTGTGTATTACATCTCTATGGAAGCTTTCGTAGTAATGGAGAAATGCGTTGGTAATAAATTTCTTCAGAGCTTCACTACTGAACTGGTTTAAAAGTTCTTGAAAAGGGGATCAATCCTTAACGGAATCAAAGAAGTCATCAGGCACTGCGGCCAAAACTTCATTTAGTTTTCATTTTCCTTTATTGATTGCTTAAAACTAAATTTGTGGGACACCAAGCGAAAAAAGTCAATCGATCGGCTTGAGCCACTCGACTTGTAATGCAGCGCAAATGAGGCTAACGATCAGTGGTACAAAAAAAAAACAGAACGAAAAATTGCAAAAAACTGTATTTCACATGTCTAGTCTCCACGCAGAAAAAAAATGGCTTGAATAGACATTTTAAAGAAACCCCCAAAAATTATTTCCCTTGAAAAACAATGAAAACGACAAACAGACGACCTTGTGTTGCAGGCAAGTTCATGGTAAGGATACGGTGGTGAAAAGTCTCCGTAGTTATTTAAAGAAAGAAGAGCTCAGAAGGAAACGATAGATTAGGGACGTTAGGTTATTAGAAGATAAAGGTAAAAGAAGATAGAAAGACCAAATTGAAAAAAGATAGCAGATCCCACGTACTGTCGGAATCAATCATATGCGAAGCACGAATGAGGAATATTGATATGTCACCTAAAATTTAGGTCAACGTCACGAGGCACATGAATGTAGAACACAGTAAAGACAAGTAGAAATGTTATGCGCACTCAGTTATTTGGATAAAATGCAAGTGTATGGTTTATAGACACGTAGCGACCACACCAATAACGCTTGCACTACCAGCACAAGCAGTGATAGGCATGTGAATTGTGCTGTCCATGACTTCCATGTCATGATTATCACATTGGCGCCTGGCATTTGTGTTTTTATTTCATGCATGTCACGTAACACTCAAATTTTGTATATGTGAAGCTGGTGAAACAGCCGCGATCGCACTGTGAGCGTAGCATGTAATCATGTTTTACATGACACGCGTATCAAGGTTATCGTGTTTTGGTGTGTCACTTACCCTTATAGTCCATTCACATCACGTAGTACCAAACTTGGTAAATGTGAAGCCAGTGCAATGACCACGAGCGTACAATGTGCGTGATATGTTGTCATGCTCTTACAAGACAGGGACAACATTAGTATCTTGTTAGCACCAGGCATATCACTTAGTCAATAATTCATGTCACATAACACCACATTTTGTATATATGAATCTAGCGAGACGACCACCAGAGCACTAGAAGCGTAGCGTGTAGTCATGTTTACATGACACGCATGTCATAATGACCATGTTTCGACGTGTCACATACATCGTCGTTCATTCGCGTCATTATTAGACAATTCGGTATATGTGAAGCTGGTGAAACGACCACTAGTTTATCCTGAGGAAGGTTTGTGGTCATGTTCTCACATGACACGCATGTGATTATTATCGTATTTGCATCAGTCACATACCTTCACCATCCAATAACGTCACGTAATGCCAAATATGGTAAATGTGAAGATAGTGAAACGACCACCAAAGCACCAGGAGCACATGGCATGTGCAGGCGCGGCCACGTCTGTGTATGATGCTCGCGAGCGGCCTGCTTTGCTCGTCGGCGCGACACCTTGCGGCCGTTGCGTGTTGTGACGTCGCATGCACAGGAGCATGCGCGACCTTACAGACATGTAGGCATGCTCTACACGTGCGACAACGGTGGATGGGGTGCTTGTTTAGCCGAAGACCTGTGCCCTTTTACGGCGCTTTTGTCACATATAACTCACAAGACGGAACGCGCGTTTCGACTAATAAAATGCGCCTGCATCAACAATGCACGCTTTGTGGCCGGTTCTAGGCATGTGATTATATGAAGATGTGATGATGCCAACAGCTGCGTGAAAAAAAACGACTAGGCGACCAGTCTCACGTGCGAAGACATGCAGTGGGCAGTGAGGGACACCCACGATTGATTGATTGATTGATATGTGGGGTTTAACGTCCCAAAGCCCCCATATGATTGTGAGAGACGCTTGTAGAGGAGGGCTCGGGAAATTTTGCCCACCTAGGGTTCTTTACCGAGCATTCAAATCTGATCACATGGGCCTACAGCATTTCCCCTTCCATCAAAAATGCAGCCGCTGCAGCTGGGATTCGATCCCGCGCCCTGCGGTTTAGCAGCCGAGTACCTTAGCCACTATACCACCGCGGCGGGGCAGTGACCAACTGAATAAATTTTCTCCTAACACTACGCAGGTCTTCCTGAGGTGAGGCAGCTGAAATTGACAGAGATGGACAAGGATTCCATAACTGTTTCCTGGCAACGACCGGAGGGCTGCTTTGATGGCTACATAGTAGAAGTCGCTGAAGAAAACGCTGGAAGCAGTGGTGTTGGAGGCCTCAGTGTGGGCTCCTGTGCGGGTGGAATCAGTGTTGACGCTGAACACACTAGCATCACGTGCAGGAAAATAGAAGCTTGCAGCGTGAAAATCACCGTACGGACGCAGAGAAAAGGACCACACGAGCTTACTTCATCTGGTGTTTCCCTGCACGACATCGTCATGTACAAAAAAGGTACTTCTATACGCTCCTACGTCCGTCTCCTTGCGATGCTGAGTTGCTGAATTTTATATTGCAGTAATAACCAGCTAGTGACCAAAGAAGTGGAAGGAACGCTGTGCAGTGGTTCAGTTTCATAGTTTCTGGCTTAATTTTTTGTACTTTTTTATTTCTAAAATGGTATGCGGTGTGTTTTAGCTAGTATATTTCTCTATACCTATACAACCAACACAAGAGCTTCGGATTTTATGTGTGGCATAGTGGTATTGTCACTTAGCATACGCATACGAATCATGCAAAAAAAAATTGAGATATCACAAATTATGGCACTAGAAAAGTATGTGCTACTTGTGCATATTTGTTCTTTGAACTATTTTTGAATTCAGAATATTTTGATCGGTAACTTTTTTAGGTATAAACGCGTATTACTACTTTTATTTAATGCTCTTTTCTACAGCATGGTCGATCTGCATGCTCATCCCCCTTTCTGAGTAGAAAGCTCATTCATATTATGCGCCTCCTAGCAGCCGTTACGACTGCCTCACCATAATATCATGCAACTGCAGTATTAAACCTCAATAAAGCACTGGCGCCTCGGCCCTTGTCCTGAAATTGTAGTAGTGTACAATGTATTATCGGTGCATCCACGTGCATTTTGTGTTACTCACTATTTCAATTTTTTAGTTAAAACTCTCGGTTGTGTATGTCTACGAGAGTGACTTCGAACTCTTGAATTGTGTTCTGTGAGCATTTTCTTTTCCTAGTGTATAAATTTTAGTCTACACATGAAAGCTGCTTGTTGTCCATTTCTCTCAAAACAAATGTATTTATCTTTATTTTTTTTGCTGTGGTCATGTCGAAGCTTAGCATGAACTGCGGAATGGCAGAGCCCGTTGTCAGACTGTTTGCCTTTATTACTTGCCCCTGCAGTGAGCTCTGTCATGTGTTTACTGTAAGTAAAGTGTCATCACTAATATCACTACTGCTACTAAACGCCTTATGGTACATTATCTCTATTTATACATTACCTTACTGTAACAAAACTATCACACCGACATAGGTTTCAGCAGTAGTCCCAGTATAGATATCAGTAGCATTGCAGGCATTTCAAATATTGGTGAAGAATACTTGCATAAAAAGTCTCTGGAAGAGGTCAGCAGCTGTTGCCTAGGCCCGGGAGTAATCTACAAGAAGGGCGATTCTAACAAAGATGGATGTAAAGCCCAAAAATATGACCGTTCTAGACAAAATTACTGCATTTGGGCAGAGTAGATAGGGAACCGGTGAGGATGGAGAACATCGTTGTTCAGAGTTACTGAAGATTGAGACGAATCCTCTAAATTAATTGGTCACGCATAAGTGCTTGAGAGAAATCCGCACAAATAGAATGACAATGTAGAAAAGAAAACTGACGAGTATAAGTGCTTTTAATTTATCATTTTAATTGCCGTAATATACAGCGCCCACTTGGGGCGCCTCCATGGCAGTAAAATCTGGAGGGAGGATAGCAAAAGGCGCAGCAAAGCAGGTTTCAGACGTGTCAGTGCAAGTCGTCCTGGTGCTTGTAGGTCGTAAACTGTTGAAGTTGTTCTCGAATGTCACGCAGGTCTTAAAAAACTATAGCCGGGTTCAGGTGCCCTCACAGCCGCCCTTGTAAATCTTGCTCAGAAAAGTGCAATCAATGAAATGTCTGTGAGCTGGTACCCTCCACTCAAAGGAAGTCTCTACAGGAGGACCGTAGAGTCGCCTCAATCGTGCAGTGTGCGGGTTTTTCTTTGTTTGCACATGTTTCTAATTATCATCGACAACACTTAACGTTCACTCAAAATCAAGGAAACTGACACCGAAACAGAAAGTTGCAACCACCGAGCTTGTTTACGCTGTTGTGCCAAATAAGAAAAATTGAAGATCATTGGGATAGGAATTCGCTATGCAGTGCCGGTGAAGCAGGCTGATAAATTACGTGTTACTGGTGTCTTGCGTTAAACGCTTAAGACATTACTTCACTAAAACGTTTTGCTAGAACCTTGCTAAAATGCTTTGCTTGAGCCGCTTGTTACCCACTGCCGTCTACCGTCCAATGCTATTTGTTAGAGATTAGCAAGAGGAAAGCACATAAAATATAATTGCTCTGTCAACGCCATTTTTATTTGCAGATATCCCAGAGGTGCTGCCGACAATTAAAGTGGCTAATGAACATTTGTACTCCGCTGGAACCGGCCAACTGGCTGCCTTCGACAAGTACAATCTCGAGGTCGCCTATGAACCTAACGAACCTTCGATCTTTAAAACGCAGCGTATTGGTTCATGTGCGGGGACAACCGTTCTAGAGCCTGACGTCACAATGTTACTGTTCCAATCTGCCAGCCTGCGTAAACACCAGTGTAATTCTACGCACTCAGCGAAATGGACCACATGGACGTGTTTCACGTGGTGAAGCATTGTCTGTGTATTCTAAAGAAGGAGGTAGGTGTCTTGTGGCATGCTCTCACACAACATTGCCGTCTTTATTGTTGAAGTGTTCAATAGAAACACAATTGTAACGTAAGGTTTGCGATATAGGAGAATTGACTAGTGTTTAAAATTCTTGAATATTGGAGCACAGGATAATCTCAGGCTGCGTATGAATACACAATCCTTATGATATTGCTTCCTTCCTCTAGAAAAATATTACAATTGAATTGCCTGTTTAGCGTACTGCTGTGATCATGCCAGGGTGCATTTCTTCGATTTTGGTAGGGTTCCCTTTCGGTTCGTGCCTTGAAAAGTTTAGAATTTGCTTAGTACGGCACAGCAAATGTGCTCCTGAATACGCTAATTCACGATTATGCTTATGCAAACGCATGCATCATCATAGTCGTAACTCTTTTTCTCCTTTCTTGTAGGGCTAGTGAGACTGCGTTCAAACCACAGCTATCTTACGGCATTCAACTTCACAGAGTGTACCACTTTATAAAGAGTAGTGTGCGAAATGGTCATGGTGAATTAAGATAAACACTATCTCCTAATGCGGACGCTCATATCGGAGGACATTTCATTTATAACATTTTGCTGCATGTCTTCACAGCTTTTGTGGACTTTGACCTCTACCTTGACAGGGTGACAACGACTACGGCTGAAATCATCATAGACCCGCATCTTCCGCCGTCCTGCTCACCGCGTTACTGCGGGGCGTATATATGTCGCTTCTACAAGAGTGGAGCGATCGTGGTGGGTCACCATCTTTCAAAACTCGCGCTACATTCAAACCCGCACAGCGATCTTCAGTAAAACGAATTTAGGAATCTTCAATTCCCCCTTAGAAAATTGGACAATTCCAAACACGCTGCTCTGAACCGGAAATCAGTCCTTCCGCTTATGTCAATCTCTCACTTAACACGCTTCTAACCATAAAGAAATACGTCGATGATAAACGCTAATCCTATTTTGTACCTTGTTCTGAACAAGAGCCATAACGCTGCCAAAGCGAAAGTGTTCACCGCTGCGGTACACACGTATGCTCATAAAGTGTGAATACACAAGAATCACGTGACTGCGTTGCACCCTTGACGCAAGGCAAATGTAACAGAAGAGCACTTTACGTTAACTTCAAGGTAAAGAATTCAAATTATTTTGCAGATAAAAAGGTAAACATCAAAACTATTGCGCAAAACAAAAAAAAAAACAGTTCCACCTCTGCAATATTGGGCCTAACAGGCGTTTCAGTATGGAGAGCATGCGTGTGCCATACGAAGACTCTAGATACTGACATGTGCAAAAAATATGAAATGTGCAATTCTTACGTCGTTTAAACACAACGTTCTTTCTAAATATCACAACAAAACTCTATGCTAGCGCCTCAGTAAAACAACTCTCACAAGTGATTCTGCAAAAAAAAAAAAAAAATTAACCATCTAGCATCTCAGCGCGCACGTAAATACAAATGAATTTTTTTTGAACTTCAGAACGCTTCTTCCCCACGCAGTTCGATAAGAAGATTCAATGTGTGAATACGTATCGTCCAGGTAGCTGTATAGTGCGCTGCATTACCTATGATACAAGAAAGGTGTTGTGCTCGACCTTAGCTTGAAAGCATCGACGCGTTCACACATCACCCAATGAGCACGTCGGCCATTCTTCACTTTTTGCGGCACGATTGTTTCGCTTTCCATTTTTATCCGCATTTCGTGACTACTATCGTAAAAATAGGAATGCAAGAAAAAGAGGGATGAACACTATGAGACAAACAGTTGGAAGTCAGTGGTCGTTTACCTTTGTTTCTTCGGCCGTCGTTTTTGGTGCTGTTATTTTTACGATTATGAACAACCAACTAGCCCGATTCAACCTCAATGTATTTGCAGCAATATTTGTGATGTTTCCTCCAATCAATGTTTATTCAGAAGACACCTTATATGGTGTGACGTAAAATCGTGCTTTCTGAAGTTATTTATATTAACTGGAGGCAAACTCCTCTTCTATGACCTCACTGCCTGCTTTCCTCCCCCTCAGATATTCTTGTCCAGTTTTGATGGCTTTCTTCGAGCGGAAAAAATAGTCATATCTACCTTCCTTTCCACCAACTAAGAACTAAGTGCACAGTTTCGAAACACCCTGAAGCGTAACTGCGTAATAGACTTGCAAGTGATTACATGTTATTGTGTTTGCTTCACTGTTATTATTGTTGTTTTCCTGTGCTCACATTGTACCCACACTTTCTAGAATTCTGTAACACCCTTTCGGCCCCGAGGGTGTTATATTAATCTATAAGATCGAGAAAAAAATTATTGTAATATTTCAGTCATCGTTCGAGGTGGCTGTTTCTATTGCCATTCACTGTACTATTTACAAAGCTGCAAGGCAAGTTTCTTATTGTAGTTACTATATTTCAACAACTTTTCGTAGTCAATGTGAATTACCTCATGCAGGTACTTTAGAGCACTCTAACTACAGTACCTTGATGATGCATAAAGAAGTCTATACGTGGCGAACATTTCTCATTTATTTGTTGCAGAAAAATTGTTGGGGTGAGGAGTGCGAGGCACGTAAATCATACAGCAGCGAAATGGTCGTGAACTTAAAACATCTCACTCCTGGAGGATTTCATACGTGCAGAGTTACCCTCAGGTACAACAATGAAGTCGCAAAACAAATCGGATTCAACGCCATTCAATGTAAGTCCGGCCGGCGAAAAGAGCATTTCAAACGCTTTCATAAGAAAACCTTAGGCCGACATTTTCGTCTTTGTTACACCATGGAATGTCGTTTCAAGCATGGCAAATAATCATAACGCAAGCTATTTTACTATCACTGTGTTTCCAACGTCGTAAGTTTATGAGATATTAAAGTCAAGCAGGTCGGACATCTCGGTATTGAATAGTTTACGGCTTTTTACTGTTTTTCGTGCAGTTTTTTTAGTGTTTGGTTTTACCGCGATAGCGTTAAAGAGCCTGTTTCGCAGAAATTCCGGTGTCGGTATCGGCTTAGTTGGTTGTGACGAAAAAAAAACATCATCTTGTGCATGACTTAAAAGTAAAAAAAAGATACAAAGAAAATAAGTATAAAAAATTCAGGGTCTGAATGAGGATTGAACCGGGGTCGTTTGCGCGCAAGCATGTTTTCTAGCTCAAAGCCACGCATCTGATTCAAAATGCAGTGGAAATAACCGATCCTGCTTGAAAATGCAGTCAAATTACCTTGCATTCTTTAAAAACGCCGGCGTCCTTTATGCATGCTTCACAGTGCAATATG